TCAAATGCAGAACCAAAAAATACAGAAGGCCTACTGTGTTTTCCTATGTATTATCCTCCTCTGAATAGATCACTTGAAATGGTCAATCCTTCCCCTAGTTTCCTCAAGAAGCCAAACACTTCAACAAACGTTTTAAGGGAAAATGATATTATTATCAAGATTTGTTTTGTCCCAGAACAGAATGGTACCCCTTGGTCACTGTTCTTACTGATCACTGAAGCCTTAAATGATGGACATTTATATCACACCTCCTAATGATGCAAGAGAGGCCAAAATGACCCTTGGAAGAACAGGAAGGCTGTGGTAAAAAGACAGGTGGTAATCCCAAATTAGAAATCAGGTCTTAAAGGGGCCAAAAGCAAGGTGACCACTCAGGAGAGCACCTTCTGTCATAACTGTGGAAAGATGAATTATTAGGCCAGTTATATTTTTATATTGAATTCTTCCTTTATGGAGTATTGTGTACCCACTAAAACTAGATAGAGGCCAAGCAATAAAATGGCAAATAACATGTAAGAGACAATATTAAGAAAAAAGTATACAGATAATAGTATACAATTTCTGATGGTAGTATGGAAAACTAGCTTTAAAAAGCAAACAACAAAACACCTTATGGGAGTGAACTAAAGTTTTAACAGTTGTAACAAGGTGATGATTTATCAGAATCCTGCACATTTTAGTGTTATTATATTCCTTTAAGATGAAAAAAAGAAGAAGAAGAAGAGAAAAATAGAAAAAAGAACGAAAAGAAGAAAACAAAGAAAGAAAGAAAAATCTTGAAGGTATTATATATGTATGTGTGTACTATGTGTATGTGTCCCTAGCAGCTGGCTTCTGGAAGAAATGAGCTAGTGCAGAAGCCACGCCCTAGGTTACAGGGGGCTATGGTCGCCTTGGGTCTGACTCAGCAACCTGGAGACTGGAGGGAACTTGGGTCTGGGGCCCCTGGCGGTTCGATCTTGCTAGGGCTTTTATTTTCCTAACATCGCAGTGCGAAGCAATACTGAGAGTCTGCCGGCCGGCCGCACTTGGTGAGCCCAGCCCCAGACTATGCTGTCCCGATGCGACCCTCCTGGCGAAAGTTTTGGTTTTTTTTAGGGAAGGGAGGAGCCACGAGGGGCTGGAAACCGGGCAGGCTTGAGCGCTGGGCCCCGCGACCTCGCCCTCCCCAGCCGGTCCGACTGCCGACCCCACGTCCCGTACCTCTTGCAAGGGATCAGCGCCTTCCTCTCGTCCAGCACCCTCACGCGCTGGTTGAGCCCATCGTAGGACAGCAGAGCACGACTGTTGCGCCCACTGCTCTGTTGATAAAGAACCTGGCGTCCCTCCCACTGCTGCGGCGCCTGGCACGGGTGCGGCGACCCAGGGGAGCCCGCTGTCCCCAGGCCGCACAGGCCGCCCAGCGCCCAAACCCAGAGGCCGCCCAGCAGCCAGGCGCCCAAGGGGCTGGCAGCGTGGAGAGGAACGCGCCCTGACATCGCGGTCTGCCGCCCCCCGCGAGTAAGCCCGAGCCCAAGGGGCCGCTGAGGGCTCCAGGCGCAGAGTGGTTTCCAAGGGTTCTCTCAGCACTGGGCCGGCCGAGGTGCTTCCTGTCCTATAGCAGTGGCCTTTATCAGCTGTTGAGATCAGGACACGGAGGCTCCTAAGCTAGACATTGGGCCTGGGAAGGCTCGGGTGAATCGCGCGCGAGCTATTTCTGCCTTGGCCGCTGCCTACTGTAGCTTCTGTTTTCACTGCTCACTGCTGCCAACAGGAAATGCAGAGGCAGCGGTGCCACTAGCACCCTGAAGGGCATCGCAATTTAAGGGGGTTGGGGAGGAGAATGAGACTTGACTGGGAAGCTGCAGTGTTTAAAAGTAATCACACACTGGGGGCAATTTCAAGGTCAAATGGGAGAGTAGAACTGCTACATTTGCTGTTCTCTGCTTTATCATGCCTCTTGGCAAATTGTAACCCTTCGCCTACAAATTTAAAGTGAAAAGACAGGTCCCTTCCTTAAGAAATGATACCAGTTTACTCATTAGGGTCACTTCCCAGCCTCCACTCCCAGGCCCTCATAGTAAAGCCTTGGGCTCAAGGACTTTACCTCAAGGTCACATTTGCACTGAGACTGATCCCCTCAAGTACAAAGTTCATAGGGTTATGTTTAAGCACTGTTAGGATCTGTCATATGGCATCAAGAAAAGAAAAAAAAAGAAAGAAAGAAAGAAAAAGAAAACGAAACTAAGAAATGACCCTTACTTTCCAAGTTTATACCTTCTTCTCATTTGCATTTGATATCAAGGATGAGGAAGAGTGAGCCAGGTGAGAGTGGGAGAGAACATTCCTGAATGAAGGACACAGAAGCAAGTGAAAATAGGTATAGTATTGAGTTTCAAGCACTAAACTGAAGGACAATCTGGAGCCAGATCACTGAGGGCCTTAAAAGTTATTTTAAGTATTTTGTTAGTAATAATTGGGGGAACTTGGGAGCCTTCAATCCATTTAAAACTAGAGGGGCATCATCTGGTATGTTCCTTAGAAAGCTCATTCAGATGTCTGTGTTGTGAAGAATGAGTGGGGTCAGAGAAAAGGCAGGAGGACCAAGCAGGAAACTCTTATTATTCAGGCAAGAGATCTTAGCTGAGCTAACAGTGTGGTCGTGGGAATGGAAAGGGTGAAATGGTATTGGGAATTATAGAGAAAAATTTAGATTCATAGGAAGATTTATCTGGCTTGAGTCACTGGGGGTTCAGCTCTGAGTAGGGAGAGAAGATACATTTCAGTTAGATCTTCTTCCCCCACCATGCCAGGGGACATTTGGCAAGGAATTCTCCAGCCCCAGATATCAAAAGTGCCAAAACTGACAACCCCTGGAGCAGAGGGGAGTATTGAGAATGAGAAGAGAACTGAGGATGAAATCCTGGAGAACTCCAGCCACTTAGAGGATGAGCAGAAAAGCAGGCACTTTGGGATCCTGAAATGGAATCACCTGGAGAGAAGCCATGGTCTAGGGGAACTTTCTCAGCTTAGGAATATTGGATTGAGTGCTGAAATACGGATTCTAGAATCACAGGCTCCTTGGGGGGACATGATGAGGAAAGGAAGTTGACCAGTTCTCCTGATGAATCCCTCCTCTGCTGTAGAAACATAAGAGACAGAGTTTGATGGGCTGATGGGATAAGCAAAGAACTTTATGAAAAGGGACTTTTCACCTCTACTCACCTTTTCTTAAAGGACATGAATCCCAAGAACATCAAGGAAACGCATGAAATGTTGGGACATGGTATTTATATATTTTAGAAAAACAGCAGGTTCAAACTCGCTGCAGAAGTTCGAGCCTTCTTCAAGTTCCCCCTCCTCAGACAACTGATAGGAAAATGGTAGGTCCTTCTACTCTTTCTCTTGCTCCTCCAATAGAAACTGAAGCTTTTTTTTTTTTTTCCACTCAGGGAGTGGTTTAGATTCAGAATTTCACTGCTGGAAATGGCTTGAAATATTATGTAGTTATCTCTCTTGCTTTATGTTTTACTGGTCTAGTTTGGCATCTTTGGAGCTTGAGACCTATCTACATGTCAAGTTTGGCTTTGCTGTTTTAGGACATCCTGACCTGTACCTAAAAAGACTAAATAGGACTTGACTCCTCTGGTGAATATTGAAATGTATCTGTCTCATTTATCCTTTTAACTTACCATGTTTAATTCATGTTCCTAGATAAATAAGAAAATGAATTTGAAGCTTTTACTTCATATTGGGCCCACTATAGAGGCCCAATAATTGTCGGTTGTTACTTGTTTAGTCAGCAATATTAATCCTCAGTCTTGGTCAGGGTCAAAACTAAACTAATTTTGTGGGTCTAAGATTAGGAAAAGAAAAAAAATTAACTGCCTTAAATTTAGATTTCAAATTAAACTACGTTTTTTAAAGATTAATGTTCACAGAACATGTTTCCATTTTACTAAGGCCATAGGAAAACATATTCTAGAGGCTGTACTGCCTAAAAACTGATGTACACTCACAACAATAAAGCCTCCCTTTCCTGTGAGTAATGAGGCCAGAAGTTGGTTTTGCTGTCTCTTCCTAATCAAGTAAGAGAAAATAAAGCATACCTACTTGCTTCCCAGAGAAACAGCTTCTTATTGGACTCAAGTAACAGTCTTGAAGCACATCAAAGATCAAGATTTTAGGCTGCTGGAATGGAAAGGGGGGAAAAATCAGATTGTGGTATCCAGAAGTTTCTTTTGTTTTCTCCCGGATTCCATTCATGTTCGAAAGGGGACTAGCCATTTAGAAGAAGGAAGAGGGAATGTTGATGGTGACTAGACATTTCTCAAACTAGAAGATACTCTTATACTTCTGGGCAGTCTTTCTTGTTTATTTCCTGGAGAAGGCACAAGCCAAGTACTCCCCTGGAAAAACTTGAGCCAGACATAATGTCCAGTAGCCACAATAACAACAACAATAACAACAACAACAACAACAAACTTCACACAGCTAGGACTGGGGTGGGGTGGTTTATATAAAGTGTGCACATCCTGTTTCCACATTTACTGTACCATCCCTTGGTCCCACACCACTCACTACTCAGCGCTTCTCATGCCCCCTGCTGGAGAAAGCAAATGCGTTTCAGACTTTGAAGGTAACCGCGCTTCCCATTTCCCTCCAACTCCTATCAGTCCGGAAAACTGTAAGGCAGAAGAAGCAAAGAGCCTTTTCTTTCTCTTGAATTTCTCTCCTGTAGCCTCCTCTATACGGTGTCCAAAAGGACTGCCAGATGCTCTTGATCCGAAGGAAAAGGATTAGGCCAGACTGAAAATGAGGGACTTTGAAGGAAATGCAGGATTCCAGCCCTTGGCTTCAGCCTGGGGAGGTGATGTCACCGCTTCTGCTCGGAGGGGACGGGGGTGGGGCTGCAGAGAGAGAGAGCCCGCGCCGCTCCTACTGCTGCCAAGGGAGCGTTCCGAGCCCACGTCAGGGGAGGTGTCGAGATAAATAGGGTGCCGAAATGGCCGTGGCTGGCTGCGCTGGGAGCTGTGGGGTCCGGGACTGGAGCAGCCTGAGCGAGTTTGTGTCCTGGAGGCTGAGCGCTGGCTCTGCTGGTGCTTTTTTAGCTGGACGGCCGAGATTTGCAGCCAGACCCCAGGGCCGCCTGTTGCTGCTGACAGGAGTTTGGGGAGGAAAACTCTTCAGTAACCCGAAGGATTTCCTCCTCGGAGAAGCAACAACGAAAGACTAGCAGGAAGAAAAGGGCACTTTCTGCCTATCTGGATCGCAGCGCAGGAGGGCAGTGCCATGCTCCTCTCCCTCCTCGTGGCGTTGTGCCTGTGGCTGCGCCTGGCGCTGGGCGTGCGCGGCGCGCCCTGCGAGGCGGTGCGCATCCCCATGTGTAGGCACATGCCCTGGAACATCACGCGGATGCCCAACCACCTGCACCACAGCACACAGGAGAATGCCATCCTGGCCATCGAGCAATACGAGGAGCTGGTGGATGTGAACTGCAGCGCCGTGCTGCGCTTCTTCCTCTGTGCCATGTATGCGCCCATCTGCACCCTGGAGTTCCTGCATGACCCTATCAAGCCGTGCAAGTCCGTGTGCCAGCGCGCGCGCGACGACTGTGAACCCCTCATGAAGATGTATAACCACAGCTGGCCCGAGAGCCTGGCTTGCGACGAGTTACCAGTCTATGACCGTGGGGTGTGCATCTCGCCAGAGGCCATAGTCACCGACCTCCCGGATGGTGAGGCACTGGGAAAGATTGAGGGAGGCCAGGAAGTGCCTGGGGCGTCACCGCCACTTGAGAACTAGGCGGACCACATCTACAGCTGCCAGGGGGTGTTCAACATAGCACCCTCAATTGCAGTACCAGCCTCACTTCCCAGGCTTGGAAGAGATGGGAAGGAATGGCAGAAGACTTTACTTAACAAGAATTTCGCGAGACTGGCAAAGAGCATTTGGCGCTCCATGAAGGGGGGGCGAGGGGAAGATTTTGCTTACAAGGGAAACGTTGGCAATGTTTTTATTTACAGTAATAGTAGATAATAATAGTAGCAAACAGATATTGCTGGGAGTGTGAGTCCGTGTTAAACACAGTGCCTGTAGCTAGTTTAATGCTTTAACAAGTCCTACTGGGCATTTGGTGCTACTTTTTAAAAGTTTTTTCTGAAAGAGCAATAATGGTCATTACACCCCACCAGGAGTAGGGTTTGTAATGTAGGCTGTTCCTTGCCAAATACTGACCTTTGTTTCATATTAAAGATGCTACCTAGTGTGACATCAATTTAGTTAATCCCTTTTCAGCTTCTTTTCTCAATTTGCTGCTTGCTTGCTGCTTTTCTTTCTTCCTTTTTTCTTTCTTTTCTTTTTTTTTTTTTTTTTTGGAAGGAGAAGGTCTAAATTCATTTCTTAAAAGGAAACCTAAGAATAACTTTGCCTTCTTGTATCCAGGCTTCCCCTGAGCTAGGTTAGGCCACATTAAAAGAGATTATGGTGTCACTTTAGAGTCACCTCTGAAGTTATACTTTAGTGGATTGCTCTGAACACAAAGGAGGCGTGGTTAAGTGGAGGGGTAAATTAAAAGTCCTCTCTAACTCAGAGTTTTAGAGAAAACACTTGTATTGTTTGCATTTTATAGATGATAGTGATACTTGGTTTTGGTTGTGCAACTCTGCACTGTTGCTGCACTGCAAAATGTGAGGTGAGGATTTGAAAATATTCTGATTATTTTGATTAAAGTGTTAGCTTGGAAAATAAATGTCTTACCATCACTTTCAGAGGAAGTGAACTCATTTTTTTCCTGGTTGGTTACATGGGTGTTCATTCACATCTATTTGTGCTTGGATAGGCAAAGTCTCACCTGAGAGAGTTCTTACCTAAGCCTGGGGATGCCGTTAGTGAGAAGTAGCTGACACCTGCCATTTTTATTACTAGTAGTAATCTTTTGCACTACTGTATTAGTTTATCTTTTCAAATCCTCTCGTATTCCAATAGGGGGAACACACTCAGTCACTGACCACCTTTCATGGCCCTGTTTATGTTTCAGATGTGAAGTGGATAGACATCACACCAGATATGATGGTGCAGGAACGGCCCCTTGATGTGGACTGTAAACGCCTAAGCCCTGGTAAGTTCTTTCCCCATTGGCTCCCTCTCCTTCTCAGAGTGATTTCTGTATCCCTTCTCCAACTTTTTAAAATTCTCTTTTTTGCCTTTTTTAGATCGGTGCAAGTGCAAAAAGGTGAAGCCAACTTTGGCAACATATCTGAGCAAAAACTACAGCTATGGTAAGTCATCTGCTAAAGCCAGTTACTTGAGACTTGGAAAACTACAAATTTGAAAAGGCCAGATCTGCTAGTCACAAGGTAAAAAGAGGCTTGATGATTTTTCTAGATGATTATGTCGGTTCTGAACAGCAAGATAATTGTTGTAAAACCTCTTGCCTTTCTGGGTAGATCAAAACAAACAAAATAAATTGCCCAGGTGAGAACATTGTTTAAATCATACATTGATCTTGGTGAGAAATGCTGCTCAGCAAATGACCTGTTCCCTTATTCTCATCCTAAGGTTTTATTGCTACAGGAAGGATGGAGATGTGGTCCATGGATTTGACTGAGGCCCAGAAAATTGAGGTCCAGAGGCAAGAGAATTAAGACTAGCCCATCTATCTTTTTACTTATAGTTACAAATATTTAAAATCTTAAAAAAATTGTGGAGAAATATGTTGCTGAATATTATTAGATGAAACTCTATGACTACAGCATTGAAATACTTTAAATACCCTCCTCTTTTTTATTTGAAAGTACCATTCAGCAATCTCTTCAAAGAAAAGAAAAGTCAGTCATGATATTTTAAGTGTTTCAAGTAACTAATTCTACTAGCATAATTGGAAAGTAAATTTAACTAAGAACATTTTTTCAAAATGCCTACTTGGGCTATTTTATACTTTATTGCTTATCTTAAGTTATTTTTACTGAAGTAACAGGAAACTAAGGAAAGATATTCAAGGTACTCTCTAATTTAGTTTTCATATTTGAAATTTAAATTTTATATCAAGCTTAGATTATATAGCATTCACAAAGGTAGGAAAATCATGACTGTTTAGAAAGCTGAAAAAATAATCAGAACTTTAGATATCAGATTTGAGAATCATACATAACCAACATGGAATATTCAACATTCATACACAACAATAACAATAATACATTATTTTTTTCCAGTAGACTTTTTTCTTGAAACCTGTTGTGTGTAGATATTGTCTTACTCTGACCTACTTAGTCCCTCATCTGCCAAAATCCAGGTGCTAATCAGTTTCTCTGCCAAGCTGTTCTCTGGGGTGTCACAGCCTTGGAACCACCTTGATGATGGAACATTTTCTTTTCAACTACTTTTGGCTCCATCTAAGCCAGCTTTCTAGGATGGAATCCAAGAATGACCCATATTAGGTTGATTATAACTCCATAGGAGGCAGTGATAATAGTAAGGAACCAAAGAAGTCAGAATTTAAAACTTGATCAAAGACAGTGACATTAGCAGCCATCTGTAATAACAATTCTATCTCTGCTCACCCTGGGCCTTACTTTGTCAATCTGTGAAATTAAAGGATTGAGAACAACAGTCCTCAGAGATTCCTTGCAGTTGTTATTACTCTAATAAATTCTCTCTGTAAAACAGAAGAAGTTAAAGCATCAGATGGGTGATGGAAGGAATACAGACTTTAAAAGTGACTTCGGAGCCTGAGAATGTATGATACTCACTTCAAATCATCACAGGGAAATAAAAACACATAAATATGTTTCTGTGAAATTTTTTGATGACCTAAGGCAGAACTCAAACTAAAGACTGCCTTGGGCTTGCTTTTCCATCTGGCAGCATGATTCAGAACTTTGTAGACAATGTTGACAGCATGGGATGCCTTGCATTTAGCATATGGGCTTTTGCCTGCATCAGGGCTGCTTGGACATGACCATAATTATAGGAGTGATTATTTAAGAGAGGCTCAGGAGTTGGCATGAAGGCTCCATCCCTAGTTTTAACCCAAGTCTTCAACGACTCTTTTTCAATTTTTAAATTGTAGTTATTCATGCCAAAATAAAAGCTGTGCAGAGGAGTGGCTGCAATGAAGTAACAACAGTGGTGGACGTAAAAGAGATCTTCAAGTCCTTGTCACCCATCCCTCGAACACAAGTCCCGCTCATTACAAATTCCTCCTGCCAGTGTCCACACATCCTGCCCCACCAAGATGTTCTTATCATGTGTTACGAGTGGCGCTCAAGGTAAGCTCAACAGCTGAAGAATATGCACACTGCGCACAGACATATGAAATGCACTTAGCAGTCGTGGCTTTAAAAACAACAACAGGAAAGCACTAGTAGTTCTTCTTGAAAAAGTAGTTTTGAACAGAATAAGGGGTTTATTACCCCATTTCATTTCATTTCTTTCTTGGAGATATATATATATATATATATATATATATATAAAAAATGTGTGTGTGTCAATTAAATCCTTAGAGAATGAAAGAAAGTAGAAATGTATTTAAATAAAATCTTGGAAAATCAATTTCAGAATTCATTAAGTGATTTCAAAATCATAAGCAATTTAACTATTTTGGGGAAGAACAGTTCTTCTCTAAACCATTCAATCTTAGCATGAAAAATACTGATTTTGGTTTATTTAATAACTTAAAAGTCAACTCTGGGACTATGACTTCATAAATTTTTTTATGTACACTTCACAATATTTGTTTTATATAATATTGAATATATATGCACAGATTTTAAAAGGACTCTTTTTTGTATGGATACTAGGGATTTAATCTAAGGGTAATTTGCCACTGAGCTTCATCCTCAGTCCTTTTTTAGTTTTATTTTGAGACAAGGTCTTAGGGCCTTGCTAAATTGATCAGGCTGGCCTCGAACTTGTGATCCTCCTGTCTCAGCCTCCTGACTTTCTGGGATTACACACATGCTCCCATGCTCCACTGCACCCAAGTTTTTAAGGTGACTTCTGAATCTAGGAATACGTGATTGCCAACTCAAGTCATCACAAGGCAAAGTATAAATAAAAAAATATGTTACATGCATACCCATGCACATTCTAGCTGGGGATATCTGTCTCCTCACATCCCTTCACTGGTCATTTTTTAAAAATATATTGGTACATTCCCTATAATACAAAGTCAAATTCTACAGTCCAGTTTCCAGGATGTGCCCCATAACATCCTGCAAATATTTTCTAGCAAAATCAATCATTTGTATATAATAAGCAATCCCTTTGATTCTCTGCCATCCATGATTCTCTGTTTCTTCTTGGTGTAGCCCAAGACTCCATTTCTCCAAACAGGAAATAAACATTTCCTTCAAAACTGAGTTCACTTGATTGATTTCTCATCCCGTATTCTATCAATACCAGTGTACCTCCTCACACGCTGCCTTACATTCTTGGCTTTCAGGCCATCCTTCCACTTACATGTTGTCTCTGATAGGAAGCCAGCTGTGTTTCTGGGTTTGTGTTTGTTTGCACCTGCTATTGCTAGATGCTAGTCATTAAATTCTATTTGAACGGACAAAGGGGTTTATTACCCCATTTCATTCCAAATTTTTTGGATGGTTGGGATGTATGTCTTTACAAATGGTATTCATGATCATTTGGAAAAAGAATCTGGTAAGGGCATGTAAAGGGGATTTTGGAAATAAAAGTGATTAGAGGAGATCTTTCTTAAAAACTTACAAAACTAGTATAAAGCTACACTTGTTGAAACCATGTGGTTGCTAGAGTAGATGTATAGATAAATTTAAAAAAATCTCAAGAGATTTCAAGGCATGAAATGACTTTTTATTATGAAAGAAATGTGGTAAATTGGTAGGAAATGAATGTTATTTAGTAAATGCTGCAAATAAGCTTATTTGCAAAATTAGTGATTTTCACTTTATACTGTACTATAAATTTCAAATAGATTCAATTGATAAATATTTCACAAACTTAATCAAAGATGATGAAATTAGATGATTAAATATGTGAGATCTGAAAGGCAAGGACTTTGTAAACAAAAAAGTAATATAAGAAATTGCAGGGAAAAATATCAATGCACATAATGGACTACATAACACTGTATACTCAAAATAACAAAAATAGACTGGTAAAAGTTGAGAAAAGTTCTTGAGGAGGATATGACAAGTTTTGTGACCTTGCTTTATAAAAAGTTCACACAACATTTAAAATGTTGAGAACACAATATAGAAATATGCATACATAAATCCATGCAGCCAAGACCTTGAAGAAATGCAAATAGTAAACAAAGTTTGGGGTGGGATGTTTTCTCTCCCATGTGGAAGCTAGAGAGAAAAAGGGAATTAAAAAGGGGGCTCATGAAAATAGAAGAGAGAACAACAGAATACAGGAAGAGGATGGAAGGGGTGGGAGGAGGGGAGGAAAAGGAAAAGTACTAAGGAATGAAACTGAGAAAATTATGTTAATTGCATGGACAACATGTCACAGTGAATCAACTATCATGTATAATTATAATGCATTGATAAAAAATACCTTTTTTAAAAAATAGTTTTTCCTAGCTGTCAGTGGATCTTTATTTTATTTATATGTGATGCTGAGAATCAAACCCAGTGCATCACACATGCTAGGCAAGTGCTCTACCACTGAGCCACAACCCCAGCAGATTCATTTTTACCTAATTCTTAATGTTAGTGAGTTGGGTGGAAGTACAACCATTTTGAAAACAGTTTGGTACTATGTATGTAAATATTTTTAAAAAAATCAAAATCCTTTGACCTAGTTATACTACTTTCAGAAATCTGTCAGAGCACAGTACTATATATAAGGATATTCAACACAACCCTGGTAATAATAGCTAAACAAAAGGAAGAATTCAATAGTAAAGAAATGGCTAAATGAATAACCAAAGTTGTAATATTATATTATTTAAAATTAATCTTTGAATTTTTCTAATTATATCAGAAAATGAATATAATGATGAAAGGAAATATACAGTAAGTAGGTTGTGAAATACAATGTGCTCTAAAATACATATACATATGTATATATGTGTACATGTATGTTCTGTGTGTGTATATATTTGAAAATAATGGATTATAGGTATAAGGTTATTGAAATTAATTTTAAATATTTTCTGCACTTTTTAAGCTTTTTACTTTTATAAAGTACTAAGATAAATTTCTTTCTTTCAGGATGATGCTTCTTGAAAATTGCTTAGTTGAAAAATGGAGAGATCAACTTAGTAAAAGATCCATAGTAAGTATAATTAGCAATACTCTGAATACGTATGCAAATGCATATAACTAAATTCAATACAATTTGAGAATTCTTCACATTCTTTATGTCCAAGCTCTCATGGGAACTGGTAACAGTATCTGTCTTTTGAATAAGTAATTAAGTATAGGTATTAATACTGGGAATTTTTATCAGAAGTCTATCATTCAGCTTCAGAGTTGGTTTTTGTGTTCAATTATAATGTACTTTTATTTCTAAATTAAATTATTCTTTTGTTTTCTTATTGTATTACAATTTAATTGTTTTATCAAATAAGATATTAAGAAGAGTTAATACCTACTGGGATTAAAACCAACATATAGGGATGCAAACATTTAGTTCAAAAATGTATACCATCACTATACATAGCAAAATCTTTCTCTATTTAAAATATTGTAAGGTTATTATAAAAAAACACAGATAACCAAATCCATGATTTTAGTGGTAACACCATAGAGATACCAATAGCTCAGTTAAAGGAATAAGAATAGATTTTTTACCTCAAGATAAGAAATCAGGTAATTGGTTTGAAACTTTCAAAGCATCCTCTCTCTTGAAGGTAAGCTTAGACATATTTAGGAGAATTCATGTTTTCCAATTCACAGAAGGGACTGCTCCTGCCCATATTCTTTTAATTTGAATGAATAAGAATTCTCAGGCAAGGCAAGAATATATATTAATTGACTTATGGAGAATGTAGTTACAACACAGCATCCTCTGCTCCAAACATGTCTGAATAAGAGCATGCTCAGTGCTACTAGAAAGAAATTGCTCTATTAGCAGAATTGGTTTCCTGATTTCCAAGACAACAGTAATCTAAAGACATCAATGCAAAAGGCAAGTTGGCCAAAGGACCTAATGTTGCTGAGAGAAAGAAAAAAAAAAACTTTCAAGAATCACAGTTTGGGCAGCAAATATTCCAATATACTTCCCCATGTAAAAGCAACATGCAATAATGAGTTTGGTATTCTAGAACATACTAGAATTATGTCCTAGGAGAGTAAGAAGAGTGTTTTCCTTTTCATTACATTTCTAGTGCCTGCTCAAATTTTTTCTGAATGAAATATACTCTAACAAAAAAGGAATAGGAAAATATGTATTATAATATAAAGCAGTGTTTATTCAAGTGGATTGATTTTCAGTTGTCACTGTGTAGAAATGTTGCATTAAAGGGGTGGTGGTCAAAACATATGGGTGCAGGTCTGGGGCCCTGGAGACAGTGGGTGAACTTGAATCCTGATTCAAGTATTTACCAACTATATGGCCTTCTGCAGATAGCCTCTGTGTGCTTATTTTCTGTTCATGACAGTGTTGCCCACCTTGTGAATTTCAAAGAAATAAACATATGTTGACTTCTCCGTAGATTGGGCACTTTTTCAATTCACCTGGTATTTGACAAGTGCTTAACACTTAAATCCAGTGGCTATTATAATTGTCATTGTCATGATATTATAGTGAAACCATTGCACTAACCAAAAAAAAAAAAAAAAATTGCACTTGTAAATGCTAATACTAGTTTAACATCAAAAGAGGCGTGATAGTGGGCACAGTGCAGTGGCGCATGCCTTTATTCCCAGCAGCTCGGGAGGCTGAGGCAGGAGGATCTTGAGTTCAAAGCCAGGCTCAGCAAGAGTGAGGCGCTAAGCAACTCAGTGAGACCCTGTCTCTAAATAAAATACAAAATAGGGCTGGGGATGTGGCTCAGTAGTTAAGCGACCCTGAGTTCAATCCCCTGTACAAAAAAAAATTTAAAAAAAAGAGGTGCGATGTATTTCACAGTCATCTTTGTAAATTTTGCCTCCCAGCAGTGGGAAGAGAGGCTGCAGGAACAGCAGAGAACACTTCAGGATAAGAAGCGAACTGCCGGACGCACCAGTCGTAGTAATCCACCAAAACCAAAGGGAAAACCACCTGCTCCCAAACCAGCTAGCCCTAAGAAGAATATTAAAGCTAGAAGTGCCCAGAAGAAAACCAACCCCAAAAGAGTGTGAGCTGACTGCTGTCCTAAATGGAGACTTCCTTACTGATGAGGCCAGGCCTTGCCTGGGACAGCCTGTGTAAGGCCACATACCCCTTGCCTTAACGACTCACTGCAGTGCTCTACATAGACACATCTTGCAGCATTTTTTCTTAATGATAGGCTTCAATTTCTATTTCTAAGGCACCACAAGCCATATTGATAGGTTTGCCCTTTGGTATCAAAGGTGTAATAAATAAAGTTGGTTGAAAGAGTTTTGCATTCAGAGTAGTCTGTGTGCATATTCTATGTGATTTCCATGTGGAGGAAATATGCTTTTGTTCTTAGAATCTGACCTAATATGAGTGTTGTAAAACTAATGCCGTATTTCAAGTGAAGTGCTGATTTTTTGGACAAAATATTTGGTTTCTGCTAAAATGTTAACAATATTTGAAAATGTGATGGAAAACATAATGCTTCTGAGGGAAGCAAGAGAAATGGATGTTTAAAAGATCTTTATGTGTTTAATGTCTGCACAAAGATTTTTGTGATGAAGGCGGATTTTTGAAATATCTAGAGAAGGAAGACATGGAAAATGGTAATGTGTATTTGTAAGACTTCCAGCTCTGTTTCTTAGGTAAAAGCTCTTTAAAAAATCTAAAATAATAACAAACAAATAAATAAAAAGGAGAGGCAGAGAGACAATGCCTGGATTCTTGTTTTTACCTGCTGTGTTGAAGATGCTCTGATCTCATAGTCACGATGCTTCTTGTCAGTACTCTCCAAGCAGCACCAGAAACAGTGAGTTGGTTTGTCCCATTATGATTTAGGTCCCAATGAGTGGATCAACCCTCAAATATTTTACACCCACCAGAGATATAATGCTCATCCCCCTTCCCAATACATCCATGGATCATGATTGCCAAACCAGGGAAAATGTTCTCCCTGCAATTGCTGGTGCTCACTGCAGGGCCTGTGGGTTCTCAACCTGCTGATTCTCAGCCTGCTATGGCATGGCCATCACAGGTCTGTATTTGGGGAAGAGGACAGAGGCCACTCGCCCACTTGTTCCACTACGTATGGAACTAGTGGAAAAATTTGAAATCTTAAGACTGATTTCTCCTTTAGATTGGCCATGGTTCTTACTTATCAGGAGAGGGGTAAGTTAAATGAGTTTTTACAAGATCTTTAATGAGATGACTTAATCTCTCTACTCTGTGAATTTGATTAACCCCTAAAGATTAACCAGGCCACAGTGTGGTTTTCATGAAAATGTTGAACATAAGCATGGCCCTCACTGAGGGTGACTTCACACTTCTAAGTACCCTTGACCTACATGATAGTACTTAATTATTCACCAGACCCATGCCTACTATAGAGTTAGTCCTGGCCTCTGACCACTCAAAGGAGTGTCATTAGCTTTGTTCATAACATATGGTTTAATAATATGATTTCACTTTAGTTCGACTATTCTACTATCCATATTTTTATTAATTAATACATTAACTTTACATTGTTGATAATGAAATATATTCTGAGAAAGCATATTTCAAGGCTACACACACTGATTGCTCAAAATGGTCTATAGTAAGTGTATTGTTTTATGAACATGTGTTACTTTTTAAATTTTTTTTTTTTTTTTTTTGTATCAGAGATTGAACCCTGGAGCACTTAACCACTGAGCCACATCCCCAGCCCATTTTACATTTTATTTTGAGACAAGGTCTTGCTAAGTTGCCTAGGGCCTCACTAAATTGCAATCTTCCTATCTCAGCCTCAAGAGCCACTGGGATTACGGGAATGCACCACTGTGTCTGACCAAGTGTTACTTTTATAATTACAGGATGCCACAAAAATACCAAAGATGCAGAATGTAGTATGGTTTAAGGTCACGCAGACATGCAAACCTGAAAACTATTATATTGATCATGTGTGTTAATCTGGGTCCTTGGAGAAGCAGGTGCCAAAACAGAATTAAATGCAAAAGAATTCTAGTAGAGGAAATGCCTGAGGGAAAGAAAGGGAAGGGAACCAGATAGGGCTGGGAGCACAATGCATGGCTGCCTTGACTAAATGAGACGGGAAACTTTGGGTGGAAACAATCCAGATTGCAGTCATCTCCAAGGACAGTTTGGCAAGGCTACTCTTGAATCAAAGTCACCCATTAAGGAGTTCCTCATCTTCCAGGGACAGCTCTTCATAGGAAGCCTCCTGTTATGCCATCACTGAGGGAACAAAATATAGTACTACAATCCTGGATTTCAGAATGCTGCAGTTGGACACTTGTGCTATGGCCCATGTGGATGGTCCTGTGATTCCGATTCTCATGATCATCACAATATGATAATCATAAAAATCTTAAAAGTTTACCACCATGTTTTCCATCATAATCTATAAAGCAGTGGTGTCAACAAAATGTCCCTGTTGATGTCAGTAATTGACTTCTACACTATTTGAATCCTTAGACGTTAAAGATGCTTGTCTTTAAGCTTTTTAATGTATTTTTAGTTCAAGTTTATTGAAGAGTGAACAGGCTGATCAAAACTATGGAGCTCCCAGTACTTATTTTCTCTCCTACCTAAGAGATTTCTCTTTCTACTACAATATAAGGAAATATTTTTAAGAGGCAACTAAAGGCAGTAACAAAGTCCATGAAATGTTCAGTTTGCCTTTATAGGTCCAGACAGGACTTAATTAGCATGAGCCTAATATCTTTTGTGGTGATATTTACACGAGAGAACAGTTTTACAACTAGATAATTCTAAAATACACTATAGTGACATGTAGATGAAAATTATTTTATAATGGCAATCTCAGGTCTCTTTGGTGACACACTTTGAAAAGAAAGAAGCTCATATTATATTAGCAATTAAATTTAGCTAAAAGAAAAGCCTCAAACCCAGAGGGCCGTTACCAAATTTTACAAAACCATTGAGAACTTGAATAACATAATGAGGTGTAAAGAACTGAGGTTAAACAAGAAATGGAATTATGAATAAAATCCCAACGTGGTTCCAAAGGAAATGTAAAATACCATTGTTGAATCAAACTGGTGGATTTTTAAAATTCATTAACATACCTAAGCTTCTAATAATTTTGAATATTTATTATGTCATTGAAGTATCTCAGCAGCTGAAAATCACATGGATAATTAATTGCTGAGTCAATTTTCTGCCTTTACTAAAAGCATATTTTTTTCCTTTGGTGGTACTGGGTGGGGATTGAACCCAAGGCCTTGTGCAAGCTATAACCCCAGCCCCTAAAAGAATAAAAATCTGACTTTGGAGGTCATCCAAAGTAACTTCTAATGAATGAGCAAGTTTAAACAGTTCAGGCAGGCATCAGTGTCAGCGAATCCACCCCAGTGGGCAGAAAAGGCACCAGGAGACCCATCCTAAGTGCCTTCAAATATAGGATAGTTTGTTTTACAAACTATGTCCATTTTATGCAGGGTGCCTCCTTACAAGGAACTGGATCCAAGAAAGTCCAGAGTTAGGTTCCAACCAAGAATGCTTCAGGTATTCTGTCTTGGAAAGGGGTTGGAGAGACTGAAATTTTGGGGGATCTTAAATGTCCCTGAAGGGCCCATGTGTTGAAGGCCCGGTTCCTGGTCTCCAGTCCTTGGTGTTATTGGGAAGTGGTGGAGTCTTCAGGAGGTGGGGCCTACTGGAATAAACTTAGATTGTTGGGAATGTTCCCTCTAAGTGTGTGTTAGGATTCCCACCTGTTCGTTTATTTATTTATTTATTTAAGCAGCTTGTTCCTCCATGTGCTCCCCATCATAATTTGCTCCCTTGCCACAAGCTTAAGCAATGGGGCCAATAGACCAAGGACTGATACCTCTGAAACCCTGAACCAAAATAAACCTTTTCTCTTTTAAAGTTGATTATCTCTAGTATTTTGTTATAGTAATAGAAATCTGACTAACACAGGGATTTAGTACAGTCATCAAAGGGACTCTGGGTTCAGGATCAAGGTACATGGCTAAGCAAAGACTCAAGGATGGGGGATCATTTTACCTAAAGGAATTTGTAAGATTCCAGAACCCAACTGTGTTTGGCAGTTGGGATAGAGATACTTCCTGCATAGGCACCCGCTTTCCTTTCTCAGTCTGTCCCTGCATTTGAGTCCACTTTCCATTCTCACTATCCTGTAAGTGTGTACTTCCTCATGCTGACAAGTCTCAGTTCAAAGCTCCCACATGTTCCCACCTATTTTGCAGTCCTCACTTCTTCAGCCACAATAACTTCTTTGTTGCATTTTCTGCCTAAAGACCAGCTAAAATTCAAGACCAGGCTGCTGAGTGGTGGCTCTGAGAACTTTTCAGCCTTTTCTAACATTTTTCTCACAGGGGCATATTTATAGGTATTGCGAACAGAAGATATTTACAGGTACTGCAAATCCCATCGCCATAGGTCTGCCTCACAGCGCCATATCCCACTCACTAAATTCAATCCCCTCAAGATTCAGAATAACACGAGTTAAGGCTGAATTGAACAAGTCTCTATTTGGGCATTATTGGATTTCTGATTATTCACCTCTATCCAAAAGAAGTGACCTTTCTCTGTCTTGTATATAAAATCTTCATTCTGAAGGAGTCACCCATGTACACAACTGAGTGTAGAGTGCCATCTGCTGGTAAAGTGTAATATTACTCTTATAGAAGTTTTCAAAGTTCTGTACCATCCTTGATGAAGTAACAGTGTGCCACATAATGCAATCACCTGAGGAACATCCGGATATGAGCAGGCCATGTGAAACAGCAGATGACAGTACTCAATTTGAAGGAGGCAGAGAGGTGAAGAAAATTAAAAATTCTCTCTTTTTTTAAAGAGAGAGAGAATTTTTTAATATTTATTTTTTAGTTTTCAATGGACACAACATCTTTATTTTTTTATTTTTATGTGGTGCTGAGGATTGAACCCAGTGCCCCGCACATGCCAGGCAAGCGTGATACCACTTGAGCCACATCTCCAGCCCATGTGGTGGAGATTTCTCACTATGCTTATTTCTCTGCATAATTTAAAGGAAGCCAATGATTGATTTGACTTTTCTTTTTAAAAAAAGTGAGTAATCTATTACTAATATTAGATGGTCAAAGATTGTATCTCGATTTTGTTAATATTAGGATTTATAAGGTAGGATGGAATGTTAATCATACAACGTGACCTTCACT